CTAGCTGCTAGACATTTCCTTGTAAATTAGTGATGAGAATTTTGTGTTAGATCAAGATAACAACTTCTAAATGATAGGTCTAAGTATCCTTATTAACTGTTTACTGGATAATGAATGGATACTCTAGAGAGAAGTGACATGTTAATCACTTCTGGAAGTTAAAAGGTTAATAGATTATAACAACAATATTGTCACCATAAACCAGTCTTTAAACTTTGATAATAATAATAATAATTTGATAATTATCATCAGATAGCATTGTCTCAACATCATAGCCAAATAGGCTGAGCATCTCACTGGGACAATGTGAATGGTACAAGACAGCAGGTTTTGTTCACTACCTGATTTTTGCGATTTAGGTCAACAAATACCAGACAGTATGTTTAACAACATGAATTAAATTAGAGAGATCATAATTTTTGTAATTCCCACAGTAAAGCCCTTCCAATATGCTTTAGCAAAACAAGCATTTTAACTCATTTTATGAACAAACCTAGAGTAGTATAATGTACAGGATTTCTTTACCTGTGATAAGGTACTGTGAATCCTCAGAGAAGGCACAATCCCAAACCCATCTTTGATTGGTTTCTTTCAGAGTTTTTTTAAGGGAGAAATCTGCAGTCTGCCAAATATTGACTGTTGTGTCTGCAGATGTTGTGGCTAGAAAGCTAGCAAATCAGAGGAATAGAGTTTGAAGAGGTCAAAACAAAGTATAATCAGAAATCTTGCCATCAAAGAAAGAGTGAAAGAGTTAACCTTTAACTTCTAAGATGTTATTGTTAATTCTCTACTCTGGCTGCTAAAAATTTCCTTGTAGTAAGTAACAAGAATTTGGTGTTGGATCAACATAACAACTTCTACCTGATAGGTTTGAGTATTCTCATTACCTGTTTTTTGGAAAGTGATAGATATTACAGGGAGAAGTTACATCCTAATCACCTCTGGGAGTGAAAGAATTAAGACATATGACATAGGATGATTTTAATAGAGTCAATTGCAAGGGAAGTGGTCAGTCAGTCTCATAGACCAAGCTTTTAGGACACAATCACTTAGGGGAACCTGTGGAGGACATACCATGAGTCTGGACTAAAAAGGCACTTTAAAGCTGCTCTTTTATGTGCTTTAGGAATTTTTGTCCTGGGGTGAAGCATAGTTGGGTCATCTTTTGTACCTCCAGTTAAGCTCCAAACATAGCAGTTACCCTGAAAGAACAATGAAAAAAGATCAAAGGAATTATTGAGATCAACTAGCTAACTGGCTAACTAATGGATTTGTTAGAAAGAAAGACAGAAACTTGCTTTATTTAATATTAGGGAAAGCACACTGTTCATGATAACTACACCAAGGCAAATTTCTCCTAACTGTATAAAATAAAAATAATTGAGTGGCTATTCATTACCTGATTATTGACAGCTGCCATGTAGGAAGCTTCTCTATCAATGCTGATAGACAAGATGGAGGTATCTGGTTCTGGAATCTATGCAACAAAAACAAACATAACGGTGAGATAACTCATGCAAAAAAATTTTCGCAATGTAATCCTCTAAACTCCTCAGAAAATTTCTCTTTAGTGATCATTAAGTTCATTCTAAAAATCTTTAGGCCCCTGAACTAAAAAAACAAACACAAAAAATAAAACAACATGTAATTATTGGCACAAACTGCTCACCAACTGCTCATTGTGATCTGTTTTAAGATCCCACATGTGAATTGCACCACTTTGATCACCAACAATAAGCTCACCCTAAAAATGACAAATTCCACATTCAGTTATTCATGATCAATAGTATCAAACAAAATATTACAAATAAGTTTCTTTCTGTATTTTTTCTTTTGCTTTATTTCATTTTCTAACAGGATTCTCACATAAATCAGCCATCAAATCATCACTCACACCTCATTATATTACATTGAGAATGCAATAAAAAGTATTTCTAACTGTTTCATCATTATAGGTCATCTAACTTAATGACTAGTTATCATAGTATGTTCTTTTATTTCTTTCCTTTAAGTTTAGTTACCTGATTTGGATGAAGGCAAACACAGTTTACTGGAGCATTCACTTGAAACACTCTTTGACACTGTAAATTATGAGACCTGAAATAAGAAAAAAAAACAACAAAAACAAATGCAATGTTATACTTTCACTCGAGGTAGTTTTTGTCTTATTCTTAATGATCTTAAAACAGTTGCGAAAATTGAACATTCATCTGGCCAACATCCAGCTGTCCTGATCCTATGCACAGTCTATAAAGCATAATTGCACCCATGTACAGACATACCTCAAGTCCCATATTCTGGCTGAACAGTCCTCCCCACCAGTGAACATCCATTTACCATCCTCATGAAATCCCACAGCAGTCACATTCTTAGATACACCATCATAATTCACAACCTTAAGCGGAATTGAGTATAAAAACAAAGTGGGAAACTCTACTAAATCTTCTTTCCTATCTTGAGGAAGGCCACTTAAAAATTCCTGGGATTAGGGATCTCAAAAATCTTAATATTGGAATAAAATTGTAAAACCAGTTAACTTGAAGAGGGAAATAATCATAGGAATGTCCCTTGAAAAGGCAGCTTGAAGTAGAGTCTAACCCTCAAAATATAACAAAAGGTGAAAAATTCAGAAGAACCAATGAGTCCTTCAAACTTAAATACAAAGTTTAGAGCAAGACACAAGCACAGACTCAGTTTCAATTATTATCTGCTGATGTCCCTAAATATGTATTAAGTGATGAGCTGACTGAAGACTGAAGGTCGAGTACAAATCAACCATAAATTTTTCATTAGTAAAATACTAGTAACAAGGAAGAAAAAATCAGGTATAGAATCATTGAGAAAAGAGTACAGAACCCAAATTTTTGCTGGTGTAGGTGAAGCTCACCATGTTATTGATGGGCAGGAGGAAGGGTGTGAAACCACGTTTTTTTTTTTAAGGTCTTGGGACTAAAGGTGTCTAATGGCCCCCAAAATTGAAAAACCTTGGTCTGTGCCTAATTTTCCTGCAGTTTAAAAGACTTCTAAGTTTAAAATAAAAGAAAACTTGGGCTATATGACTTACAGCACTAGGATTGCTTGAATTGATATCATACATGCGTATGTGTTGATATCCTGAGGAAAATAAAAAATAAAAGATATGTTAGTGTGAATTAAATACAGTTTTACCATAATACTCAGTTAGTATAATCTTTCTTTTGAAATGAACCAGGAGTATATAATAATTTACTGATGCACAGTCAGCTCAGTCTTCAGAGTAAAAAGGGTTGAAATTCTAGACAAATTTCTTTTTCATCTCAGAGGTCAAGAGCAAGTTACCTGCAGCAGCTAACAACTGTCTATCAGGTGTGATCTGCATTGCATTGACTTGCTAATACAATAGAGTTAAAGATTACAACATCTACTTGTACAATGATGAGGTGCATACAGTTACACTCTGTGACAAAAATTTATCACCATAAAACACTCATCCAATAGCATTGCCACTTTGTAGGAAGTAATGACGTATGAAATTAAAAATAAACCAAAATTCATCACAATACCCTTAAAAAAATCAGTGCTCACAGTACAACCACAAAAAACAAAACAAAAACGTAACATTTCTCTATGGGAGGAGGGATAAAATTAGAAGTATTTAAGATAGTCTTGAAATTTGTTCCTATGTGGGTCGTATGTAGTTAGCTTGAATGTCTATTGTAACTAAATTAACGGGTGTAATGAGGAGACTCAAACTTATCAGGTACATGTAGAAGTTGCTATCTTGATTTCAAGCCAAATTCTCGTAGCTAGTTTTCAAGGAAATGTGTAGCAGCTAAAGTGGAGTACTTAAGATCAGTTCTTGGGGGTTGATTGGTTACACTTTCTGTTATCTAATTAGAACTTGAGGTTGTGTCCCATGGACTTGTGTTGGTATTGCAATGAAGACAATTTCAAGATATATTGTGGGCGTCTCTACCTATCTACTTTGAGTCTTTCGTACACTCAAGTTTTTAAGGTTTTGTGTTCTTCGGTAAACACCGTGCAATTGTATGCAGTGGACTAGATTTTATAAATGCAAAGGATACAGAGTCTGGATGCTGTACAGTGCGGTGGCATATTCCACTGTGTGCTTGCCAGAACTTAATCGCATGATCGTATCCTGCTGTGGCTAAAATAACCGGTTCACTTGAACCTTCTGTTTCAGCAGTCATCTTGTAGATATCATCTGTTGGTTTGTTGTCGTCGATGAGGAAGAAATTTCGTGCAAAAATAACCGGTTTCAGAGAAAGTCACAGGATGTTCAAATCTTATTACTTGACATACATTTCTGTTTTTCTTAGCCGCTGGTTTTTTATGCAGGCTCAAGGTGATTTTTCTTTCTTTCCAGGGAGGGGCAAAATGTAGTTTAAAAACAGGACGACAGATGAGAAAAAAAATTTCAAACTACGTATTTTCGGCAGATTATCTTTGCGGTCTTTCTCAAAACCATATGAAAATGTTCAAGGACTATTCAGCTCTATTGATTTAAACAGAGGCTACAACAGTTGGGCTCCCACCCTCTCAAGAAATCACTCGTCATTTCATACGCCTGGAACATTATGATTTGATAAAGGAAAAGAAGCTTTGTATCTAGCAATGGGGATTCCCGGACTAACAAGTTATATCAACTCAATCGGAACGCTTTGGACACAGATCGATCTTAAAAATACAAAACTTATTATCGATGGATCTTGTCTGTGCCATTATCTTTACTATAGCAATGGCTTAGACTGCCGATGTGGTGGTCAGTACCAAGAATATTATGATGCTGTAGTTTCGTTTTTCGATGCTCTGGTTTCGAACGGCGTGGAGGCCTATGTTGTATTCGATGGAGCACATGATCCCAGCGACAAGAAGTTGGAGACACTTAAAGCCCGAGCAAAGGAGAGGGTTCAAACATCAAATGCTTTGTCGAAATCCGCTGATGATCGTTTGTTCTTACTTCCGCTTTTGGCAAGGCACGTGTTCTTGGAGGCACTCAGGAATCGCGGCGTAAAATTCGTTTCCAGTGATAGGTAGGAGTGATTTATTTGTGATAATGCGCTTTGAAACGATTTCAAGAGAAGTGGCCCGTGTAGCCATCTTTTAATGACTCCACCATAAAGGCTTTTGATCACATCGAAACAACAAAATAACATAATCTTCTACTAGACAACACACAGGACCATCAAATAGAATAGGACAGATGGTAAGTTTTGAGCTCGGTAAAGAAAAAGAGAAAGATGTTTTTCGACTTCAGTGCCACGAGCGTGGAAGAAAAAAAAAATCTGAGCCGCCATATGGGATCGAACCTCAGACCTTCAGAATCCGCGCTCTGATGCTCTACCACTGAATCACAGAGACTCTGTGGTGAGCGAGGCTCATTACGAAGTTAATATATGACACGCGTCCCGCATACTGCTAGGATTAGCTTTGTCATTAGCGTCATGTTTGTAAATTTGAGAAGAAATATGGTAAGTTTTGAGCTCGGTAGAGAAATAGAGGAAGATGGGTACACAGGGTCTTTGTTTAGGAAGAAACTACAGTACCAACGTTGAGGAAACTTGATTGGGCTTTATGACTTTTCAAGTCACATAAAAAGTTCAGTATGTAGGCCTTTTTCCTATTCTTCCATGAGATTTTCTTTTAAATTGAAAATCATGTACATGTGGAAGGAACGCTAGAAGAGGCTTGGTGGATATTACTTCTCCAGCTCTTGGCTCGCCCTAAAATATATACATCTAACCTCACTTCCTTTTTTTTTTCTCAACAGCGAAGCCGACACAGAAATTGCCTCGTTGGCTTATGTGTGGAATTGCCCAGTTCTTAGCAATGACAGTGACTTCTTTATCTTTGACATCAAAGCTGGGTACGTTCCTCTTGCTTTCTTTACCTGGAATTCCAGTTGTTTGACAGTGAGGGTCTTCCATCGGCAAAAACTGGCGTCGCACTTCCGAATTCGTGCAGAATTAATTCCCTTGTTGGCTTCGTTGGCAGGAAATGACTACGTGAGTTGTGATTTATTAGTTGAGTTTAACCGTGCGTTGAATGGTTTTCAGACTTCCAACCATTTTAGTAAAAAAGGAGCTCGATTTGAAAGCATTGCGAACATGCTATCCAAACTTCCTGACTCAAACGAGGAAGAGGCTTTGAAATGTGCCCTGAAAATGGTGAAGTCAGCTGAAAACAGAGAACAACTTAGAGAAGCTGTTGAACTTTCTCTACAGGAATACACACTTTCAGAGTCGAATCTACTGGGCTATTTCCAAGACGACTTAGTCTCTAGCTCCCTAAGAACGCAGAGTAATCGCGAGATCAACCAGTGGGTCTTGCACAGGTTCCGAGATGGAAAGTTTTCCTCCAAATGCATCAGCAGCTTGACATCGGGGAAACTGTTCATGGGAATTCCCGTTGAGAATTGTAGAGAAATATCGGCGAACTGTTGCTCTAAGTGGCTAAGGAGATTCGTGTATGCAATTTTGAACGATGCTGAAACAAAAGCAGAAGAAGGAAATATAAAGGTGATCCAAGAATGGGACAGAGTGGGCTTAAGTGTCCAACAATCAATTGTAAAACCCTACCAAGAAGGCGTGGTCCCTTCTTTGAGCCTAATCCCGTACCTCGATCTCGGAGAGCGTGTAAATTTTTTGTTGTTTGCACTCGATTCGGACACCACAGATGTTAGATCCTTGGGTAAAAGGTTTATTTTGATTGCCGCATCACTTCGTTACCTCATAAAAAACGCGCAACCATCCTTGGATACAAACCATCTGATCGCTTTACTGTGTTGTTGTGTTAACATGGAGAATGACGAGTTCCACAAAGGTGAAGAAAACACTGTAAGCCCTAAACGCTCCTCATGGCCGTTTGACATACGAGCGGCGCAAAGCTTTGCTCAGTGGCAGTGTGTTCTGAGAGACGCAATTCATCTAAATTTTAATTTGCTTGAGCCTGTACCTGTACCATTTATTCATAAGACATTCAATGGAAGAATGGCACAAAAACTGCTTGAAAGTTTGCAACGTGGTAAGTCTGAAAATTAACCCTTGCAATCCAATACTTTAGAAAATATGAATATGATGTGAATATTTGTTTAGTGCGCCTGAGTTCCCTGTTTTCAAGTCAGAACTAATAGTGAAGCAAATAAACGTAATTGCTGTGTTTGACTTGGAAGATGAGACCGATATTAGTTCTCATGGAACAGGAGAGGGGGGCACTGTTATTGGTACTAAAAGGTTCTCAAACATACAACAGCTCTAACTGATGACTCTTGTTAACTGGGGCACATGCCAACATTGCAAGTAACATCCATCGATTTTTTTTTTAACTCTCGCGAGTTCAAGTAGAGATGTGTGGAAAACTAATGGAAGTGTCCTCTTTTTCTAGGTCGACAACCAGAGCAGCTTCTTCCAGGTTTCAAGCTGTTTCGCTTGTTTCATAGGCTTCGTCTTGCGGTAACCAGTGGCCTTTTAGAAAAGATGGTGAGTGTAAAGAACCACGGAGACAAGAAGAGAGTGAGGAAGACTTCTAAGCAAAATGCCGCGTCGAGAGAAACATCATCTGCTGACGAAATGCCAGGAAATCGTTTTTCTGTTCTGTGCAATGTTGAAGTTCAACGGTGAGAAGGGGAAGTTCCATTAACGAACGAGAACAGTGTCGACGGTTTCTAGGAAACATGTTGCCAGGCAACGCGAGTAATCTGCTGACGTTACTTCTAGTTGATGTGACTACATGTCAGAATTGCTTGATATACTGCAAAGATCGCTTCGCTCTTTCAATGAAAATTACCCATGCTGTTTTCTACTTTTTAGATTGTGTACAAGGTAACCAATTGTTGATCTCATTTTTTAATGTTCAGGAAGAAAATAGTATGTGAATCATGCTTCACGTCGAATGATAACTTGTAGGCAATTCTCATTCATAAATATGCCGCAGAATTCCGGCGGAAGCTAGTAACGTAACGTCAAGCTAAGTTTCCAGGTGCCATATCTCAACTCCAAAGAGCGCAAAAGATGCTTCTAAGTTTGGAATAACAATTTTCAAAAGAAAGATATTAATTTTTTGCTTATTGAACTAAACAAACCTGTTAAATTCTAGTGGAGACTGGCTGCTTATCTTCCTACAAGTAATCCGGCAAAACATCAAACGAACTTCCGGCAGAATTCGAAATCTCCTGACTGAGCAATAATTCTTCAGACTCAGTGAATATTGTTAAATAATCTCCCGGCTCGAATTCGTCTTGAGGATTATTTAACAATATTTACTTCACCTTCGGCGAATATTTGTTAAGTAAACCCTTTCACGAATACCTCTAGCTTAAATAAAGTTTTAGAAGTACCTAAGTTTGAGAAAATTTCTTGCAAGGCGAAAAGTAATATTGGTGACGTGACTCTTTGCCAAATACTACAGCTATTACTAAGCTAACAACTTGAAACTCTTCGGTATCTTTAAGGAGAAATTTCTTACGATCCGCTTCTTCTCAAATGATAGTAACGCCTGCTTAGTTTTAATTTTCACGTCGTATACTGGTCAACCGATTCTTGGTATAATTCAGGAAGATTTTAAAAGTACACGCACATTACTTATCTTTTCACCCAACAAACTGAACGCGTAATTCTACCTTGAATTATTCATAATTAACATCTTCATTTCTTTACTACATCATTTGCTTTACTTTCAAGTCAACTTTTCTATTATAAGCTAATGACCGTTAAGTTCAGTTTCATATAATATGAAAAGCGAAAGAAAATTAGCATTATTGGACTTACTGCTCTGTTTGCTTTACCGATTGCTTTTGTTTAATTTAGGGGAAAACTTCAGTCGCCCACTCCGCTGATGGGTGAGGAAGCTGAGAAGAAACAAAGAGGGTATCTGTGGTTATTAACTTTGAATAGTATTATTAGCAGCAACACTCACATGGCAGTTGAATGTTTTCTTCATTAATCTCCTTTTCAAAGCTTCCATTGGCCAGCAAGGGAAACTAGGTTCGCGACTACCTTTTACTAGTACATCATACTTTCCGATTTAGACTTTCCTAGGAGGGGAATTTCATTTTCGCGTGACTAACAAAAAAATTATGAAACGGGGAATAGAAAATCTAAGTCTTTATTTAGTATCGTGGTATTTATGTGCCGCTGACCAAGATTAAATTAAAAGGAAATTAACCACAGTTGCAGTCTTCATTACCGTGTGAGGAAGCTTAAAAAATCCAAGCGGGTACTTGTGGCCCATGAAACTTTGAATCATGTCCTTGGCAACAGTACTCTCGTCGTGGTAGTGTTTCCTCTTCTACGGCCTCCTTCTCATAGCTTCTATCGGCTAGCGAGGGAAACTGGTTAGTGTCTCCTCTTGGCTTGTTGTCGCAGTTTAAGAGATGGGTGTTCGCGGACTTACGTCTTATCTAGAAGAGTCAGCTCCATTCCTTGGGAGACTGATCGAGCTGCGAGACACAAAGCTTATCATAGACGGAGATAACTTGTGTAACTACCTTTACAAAGAAAACGGCTTCGATTGCCGATGCGGAGGGCAGTATGAGGAGTTTTATAAGAAAGTACTACTGTTTTTCGACGCCCTAAAATCTAAGGGTGTCGAATCGTTCGTAGTTTTTGATGGCGCATATGATAGAAGTGATAAGAAATTAGAAATACAGATAAAAAGAACACAAGACAGGATCGACACGGCTGACCGGTTGTTCAAGAATGAAACATCGGCTAATGGCGATGAATATTTTCTACTTCCGCTTTTGGCGAAGTTTGTTTTCGTAGAAGTCCTGAGGGATCACTTGATAAAATTTGCTGTATCTGACTGGTAAGATATCATCAAATAGTTAATTAGCTTGCACTTATGCTATAACACTGGCTAAGAAATGTGGTCGTGTTCAAATGCTTAGGATATGAAACGAAAGATGGAGAAATTTATTTTTGGTTCCGTTTCTGTAAGTTTTCCCCTTCTTTAAACGCAAAAAAACATGCTATGCCTGCAAGAGTTTTTTTCTTTGGGGTGGGTGGATTACTTGAAACATTGTAAGTGATGTCTACATTTTTACAAAAGGAAAGAAGAGTATTAACGCGGAAAAGAACGAAAATATCGAATTGACTCACGCACAGGTACTTTTTGTGGTAGATTATGTGTTGTGCGAATAACTGTAACCAAAAATAAACTGTATTGGTGCCATGGATACCTATTAGTACAAAATGCAGATCGGAAACAAAATGTAGACTAAGTACAAAATGTAGAATGCAGACTGCAGAGTGGGTACAAAAGGAAGACTGGGAATCTAAAGAGTTTTTTCGTCTGGTATGTGGTAACATGTCATCTTACAACTTAGCGAGCGTCACGCAATCGCGTTTCCGCGATCAGCTTTCACGATTATTTGCACTATTGCAGAATATTCCTGGCCCGTTTCTTGATCAAAATCGATCTAAATATAATTTCTAACCTTCATGTAGTCTTCTCACTTTGTGCGCGAGTTGGTTAGTGTGATGTCTGTACAGATTTTACTAACGTAATGAAAGTAGACGTAGATGTAGATGAGATGTCACTATTGAATATTTAACACGCGCAATATTCGACAGCCTTGCTGGTAGTCCGTATCATAATTCTTTTTTTAAGCGGTATGTGTTTATTTTGTTGACAAAAATGCGGACCGAGACCAAAACTGTTCCTTCGACTTGATATATTTTCGACGTTAGTAAATCACATCATATTAACTTACCTCCGTAAATCATTCATTCCAGATAAGAAAATCAAACAAACACGCTTACGATGGTACCTGAATTCGTCCATGATCAAGCACAAACGACTCCGCAAGATCACTTTCTCCAGGCATCGGAAACATACACAAAATCGTCCACAGTCAATTTTAATCAGACATTCATCTTAAGATAGCACCGAGCAAACCAATCCAGAAAAATATAATCGGCACACTCAACAAATCATGAATCTTGCAACACAGCTTGCCGTTAAAGAACTGCTCAAATTAAAATGTTTGGTGCAATTCATCAACACCTCAGGCAATATTTGATTCAAAATTTTTCCACTCGCTCTCGTTTGAAAGGAACAATAACCATGATCGTGCTACAGAGCACAGGACTCCATTTTCTCTCGAACAACTATCCACCATTTTCACAGCATGAGTAACTCGTTTACTATAGGTAATCTGATATCTTCCATCTGCCCAGAAGCATCGTACTTCTCATAACGCGCGGTAAAATACATGTTAAAAACACAGAAAAGCCAACATTTCTTATTTTGAGCACCTCTCAAACCAAAGAACAAAATCGACGCTCTGATTAATGTGAGATACATACCCTAATGCGGCGATCTGATTGGTGCGAAATATATTCCCTAAACGATCTGATTGGTGCGAGCAACATACCACTCTCTATAGGCTAACATAGATGTTATTTTTTTAATTATAAAACAAATTATTCAAAAATATGTTTTTTCGCCCAAAAGACGGCAGCTCAGGTCCGTTTGGGTATTTTTTTTCTCTTACAGTTTTTACTAATAAGTGTTCCGGTTTATTTTTGTTTTCACTTTCGCACGTAAGCGAAATTAAGACAACATAAATTTCAGATATTGTTAGCTTCTTATTCATCGAGCGGGAGAACTGCACTGGGGAAGCCCAGAGGCTGCGGAAGTGCGAATCAAGCGCAGCAATTTGATAGACTGATCAGGTACTACCTGTGAAGAAAATCAAAGGCAAGCGTGATTGAAGAGAACAGGGTGTAATAGTCACCAAAGTGTCATTTAACGTTTTCGAATCTCTTGAACAGCTACTAGGAAAAAATTTATTCGATTTATAATATGTTTCATAATGCTAAGCGGGCTATTCTCGTGGGGTTTAAAAAGAAATTTCCTTTCTCTTTTTAATTCTACAGTGAAGCGGATCCTGACATCGCATCTTTAGCCAAGGATTGGGCATGTCCTGTTTTGAGCAATGACAGCGATTTCTTCATCTTTGATGTCAAGGGCGGCTTCATCCCACTTTCCTCTTTTGATGTTGATCAGTTAACAACGCGTATTTTCTACCGCAGTGACTTGGCAAGATATTTTGGAATACGCGAGGAATTTCTTCCTTTACTTGCTTCCTTACTTGGCAATGATTACGTGAGTTGGGAAGCGTTAAAACCCTTCAACCACACAATTTGGACTCTTTTCAGTGATGGTCGCAGAGGAAAGGCGGTGAGGTTTTCAGGTGTCGCAAGTTTGCTCTCCCAGCTCTCTAATTCAATCACAGAAACACAAGCATTTGAGTTCGCTTTGGGATTGATAGAGCCGGGTGAAAGTAGGGAGCGGCTTGAGAAAGCTGTCGAGTATTCTCTTCAAGAATACGCAATTACGAAGTCCAATTTATTGGATTACCTCCGAGATGGAGTAGTCTGTAGTCTTCTGAGAACCCAAAATAAAATCGGGCTTGACGAAGAGGTATTGCGCAGGTTTCGCGAAGGAAAGTTCTCTACTGATTGTATGAGCAGCTTAACGGCAGGAAAAGTATTTCTCAGAGTTCAGGTCGAGAACCTTGAGAGCAGATCATCAAATCAGTGTTCAATGTCACTGAGACAGCTGATGTATGGCATTTTGAGCGATGGAGGAAGAAACATGAAGAGGATCGAAGAATGGGACCGAGAGGGTTTTGCAGTCAAGCACACAGACATTAAGCCTTACAATGACAAGGTCCCTTCATTCAGTTCGATACCAAATATTGATCTTTACGACAGATTAACGATGTTTTTGGATGCGCTAGATTCAGACTCAGCTTATATAAAGTCATTACCAAAAGAATTTGCGTTAGTCGCATCATCGCTCCGTTTTCTTCATCGTAACTCGCAACCGCCACTGGAGAATAGTCATCTGTGCGCTTTACTTTGTAGTTGTGTCAAACTAGAGGATGGTTCGTGGAAACAATACCTAGAACATCCCACAAGAGCTTTATCCCAACCCTTTGATGAGAGAGCAGCGCAAAGCTTTTGTCAGTGGCAGTGTGTTTTGAGAGATGCCACTCACCTCAACTTTGTTTTGCTTGAGCCAGTGCAGACACCGTGTATCCGCAAAACTTTCAATGGAAAACTGGTGCATTGCCTCCAGAGGGAATTGAAAACAGGTAATAACAAGTTTAACACATATTTCTTCCTTTTAAATCTTTTGTTTCGTTTGACGAAACGGTTAAAGCACCAGAATAAACAATAACTTGTAGCAAACGTTTCCAGCACAACGTAAACATGGAAATGAACGTGTCCTCCGTTGAGTAGTTTTGCCTTTCCGTCGCATTTATTTCTTGTGGAAAGGGGACATGTGAATTTACCCCTCTGGATGATTGGGGTGAAAGTCACTGCAGGGATTTTGTGCTTTGAAAAAATTTTCAACAGGAAAGCCTGTATCTTTTCATCAACGTGGAGTTTATCGGCGTGTGGTAATAAAGTTTATTTTGAAAACTGTTAACGCAGAAAAAAGGTTAAAATCATTATTTTGCCCCTCTCTTTCAGGCTGTAAGCCAGAATCCTTGATGTCAACTCCAAGCTCTCTTGTTCGGTATCAAGAGCTTTACACTGCAATTACTGCCGGCCAGGAGGAAATAGGTAGTATACTAGTATACAAAACTTTTCAATATAGTTTTCTGAAAGGATCGTTAGTATATTCTCGTTCTCACGGTGCTTTTGAAAAAAAATATGATTCAATTTTTTTCATGCGCACTCGTAATCCTGAAACAATCGGATCGGCTACAATTTTTGTTCCGGATTCCGAACGTTCGGTTTGAAGATACTGTCAAATTCTTTGGCGTTAGTTAAATAGTCATTTGTACGATTTTGTCATCCTTTTCTTGACGTTCTTGAATGAATTTAGACTCCACTTTCCACTCTAAGTAAGTACATCAACCGTTTCTGTTGCAGAAGATGTTGTAACCAGGATGCAAAAGTTACGGTTACACACATCAAGTATGAACCTGAATGAAAGCACCATAACCGGCAATGTTACTCAGTGACGACCCCTATGGTAACCAGCTGGGGTATCAGTTCTCGGCACCCTCCACCTCTGCGAGCGCAACGTGAACAGAATCAACAGCTTCTAACATTCGACGAAGAAAGAGAGGAAACAAAATGTCAAACAAGAAACGGGAGATCATTTCCCCACGTTCTCGGAGCGTGTTCCTCGATATAATTTGTAAGAAAAAAAATCCAAAATGGCATGACGAAACAACTATTGTCCTCGGTTACTTGAAATATCGTAATTAGCTGAGTTACGCGCTTAGAAATTAAACATATATTTGCCAATGTTAGCAGTTTAGGTTGGCCACTAACTTCTTACTAATAAATATAAGAGACTCAACAGTTCCAAAACTGTATAGAGTACTGGAAATCCATGCAAATTTTTCTTCCAACATCATCCATCCTCTGGTGCGGGACAGCGCACATGGCAATGAGTAGCTCAATTATCGTTTGAAATGCTTATCTCGTACCCAGGACCTACCATGTAACCGGAATGCAACCGCTCGGCCGTGGAGGGTCCGGGTACGAGACTGATGAAGTGCCTTGCTGATTGACTGTTTGCACTTCCCCCAGAGCTACCCTTTACCGATTTAGCAGCTATACCTGAAAATCTGTGCTCAAAATCATAGGAAAAAATACAGTACTTTTCAGAAGTATAAGTTTATTTCAGGGATAGGGTTGAAAGAAATAACTTTATACATAGGAGAGTAAAAATTTCATTTTTTTGGAAGTCATTTGTTTCATTTCATTTGTTTGAAGAACTTAGTGCGTGAATTCGTAGCATGTAACTGGTATACTGATATTTAGAAGGGTGCACTTCTTTAAAAATAGTTACACCTCCTTCGTATTACTACAGACAATTTATGTTAAAAACAAAAGCCTTATTCGCCTGTCGAGCCTCTAAGTACAATAAAAATATTTCCAATTTTAAATTTGTTTATATAATGTGTACTAAATTGTCGTCTATTACAAAATCCTATCATGAACGACTACCAGTGCAAGTATGCAGTTACAGTCAATGTCAATACTAGCGATAACATGACACATAAACTCAGTTGCAACAAGTTTCCTTGGGGGACATGGAAATGAAATCACCTCAGAACTAACAGCTACAGCTCAGCAGTAAAGCAATGCAATTTCTAGGATATTAATATCCTTTTAATTGAAATTTCGAAAAAAAATCCTTCCTAAGACCCTGAATCGAAGGCTCCCCCCTTTTTTAAGATTTTTAGGATTCGATTTAAATCAGGGACTAAACGTTGCAGTTCCTATAATATAAATACCTCGTTTTGTGGTTCTAGTGAAAAAAATCAATGGCAGCAAGAGAAAATAATTAATTGAGTATTCCCTTAGAAATTGCTTCAAACATGCTAAATATTAATAACACGTGAATTTCAAGATTAATAAACCAATTTCCTGGCTTAATAATATTTCTATGATTTTAAAGAAACTGCTAAAGATGCCAATTGAGACATGTGGCCCATAAAAATACCTGGAAAAAAAAATCAATTTTAAATCAAAGACTATCAAAATAAATATGCACCATCAAGTAGTTGCGGCTCTCAAGAACAGCATTAAACGATATAAAAAATCTATTCTTTGAAATATAGGAAAAATAACAAAACTATTGAACATTATTATCAATTTCGCATAGGACAAGCTTCCGGAATACCAAAAGTAATGTAATGAGATCAATTGACTTGATACCAGAACACATCAGAAACTTTGTCGTCGTTTTCCTTTGCTTTGATCAGTGTTTTAGTCTCATTACACTAGAGTTTCCATTGTAGCACATACTACCAATCAAAAACTTTTATCTTCATCACTATCAGATCTGTTAAACGGCTTCTCAGTTATTGCGTCTAGGAAATCTTTACAATCCTTTTCATCATGTTGTTAATAAAATACAAGTTGAAGCTCAATCGAACATGGAATCTAGCTCAGAAGAGAAATCACTCAGTATGCTGTTGATGTCCCTCATAAGATCTAAGATCTTCAGCCAATCTGCAAAGAAGGGAGGAGAGAACCCGATTAATTGGACAGCTGTGGAACACGAGACTTGATGAAATGATTTTGCAACTTCAAGGATACAATTTTTTTTCTAAGAGGTCGCTAGTCAAGATGAAGGGCGGATGTAACTGTTAAATAAAAAACAACCAAAAAAACAACATATTTCCTGCATGGCGAAATTGCATTCTTATTTTGATCGCAGATTAGCTGTTAGAGAAAAACCTCTTGTGTTATTATGAGTGAGGATGAAGTGAAGTGAAGTTAAATGTTACATCCAGCCAGTATGGAAGAGAGACACAGGGTTCCCATCTCTTGGGCAGGTTTACCTCTCGCTGCTCGGGGAAAATGTTCCTGGAAATTCCCGTTGATAATTGTAGAGAAATATCGGCGAACTGTTGCTCTAAAAGACTAAGGATATTCGTGTATGCAATTTTGAACGATGCTGAAACAAAAGCAGAAGAAGGAAATATAAAGGTGATCCAAGAATGGGACAGAGAGGGCTTAAGTGTCCAACAATCAATTGTAAAACCCTACCAAGAGCCTAATCCCGTACTTCGATCTCGGAGAGCGTGAAAAGTTTTTGTTGTTTGCACTCGATTCGGACACCACAGAGGTTAGGTCCTTTGGTAAAAGGTTTATTTTAATCGCTGCATCACTTCGTTACCTCATCAATAACGCGCAACCACCCCTGGAGAGAAACCATCTGATTGCTTTACTATGTTGTTGTGTTAACTTGAAAATGGCGAGTTCCACAATGCTACAGAAACTACTGTAAGCTCTAAACGATCCTCATGGCCCTTTGACATACGAGCGACGCAAAGCTTTGCTCAATGGCAGTGTGTTCTGAGAGACGCAATTCATCTGTTCTGTGCAATGTTAAAGTTCCACAGTGAGAAGGGTAAGTTCCATTAATGAGCGAGAACAATGTAGACGGTTTTTAGGAAACATGTTGCCGGCCAACGCGAGTAATCTGCTGACGCTACTTCTCGTTGATGTGACAACTTGTTAATGTTGATCTCATTGTTTAATGTTTAGGAGAAAAGTAGTTTAGGAATCATGCTTCAGGTTGAATGATAACCTGTAGGCCATGCTCATAAATAAATACGCTGCATAATTCCGGCGAACGTGGAACGCGTAACCCTGCTCGTTGGAAGATAGTTACGTAATGTCAAGCCAAGTTTTCAGGTGCAAGATCTCAATTCCGAAGAGCACAAAAGATGCTTCTAAGTTTGGAATAGCACTTCGAAAGAAAGGTATGATTTTTTTTGCTGATTGAAGTAAATAAACCTGTTAAAATCTAGGGGAGACTGGCTGCCCGTCTTAATACGAGTATTCAAAACATTTTGCTGAAAACATCGTGTTTTAGCTTGTTTGCAGCGTTTTTAAACGTGAAATAAACTAATTTTTGCAAAAAAAAAAAAAAACGTTTTTCAGTCTAAATTGAGCCTTTTTGTCAACTTTTGCCTAAAATTTGGCAAAAACTCATGCGTTTCTGCCGGATTTTGGTGTTTTTAGACAGATTTCATCGCAGTTTTACAAAATACATGTAGTTTCAGCTAGTTTGCCGCGTTTTGGGCCTGAGACTGGTAGGTGTGATGTTTTTAATGACAATGTTTTTTAGAACTCTAAAGAATGGTCAAGCTTTATCCTGTTATTAAAATTTTTTTTACCAAGTTATCACAAAGCTTTTTTGGTACTTTGACCTGTTTAACACCCAAAAAGAAGTGCACATACAAACTACAAACAATCAGCGCATTCAAAATGTGCTGCAGCCGACGATTTGGCCGCCTACAACAAAATATCTGCCACTTACTTCACACTTGTCAGACTTCCATTTAGGACGAGGTTCAGCTTCTGCTACCTTTTACTATTGCCAGCGGCAATATTATTAGAAAGGAATGCAGTAATCTTTACTAATAAGATTACTTAGTAGCTACATAACAAATAGCCCAGTCAAAATGTACTGACAGCCGGGGATTTGGCTGCTTACAACAAAATATCTGCTGCTTACTTCACACTTGTCAGACTTTTAGTCTGGACGAGGTTTAGCCTTTACTTTCTATTACCAAAGCCAGCTTGCCTACTTCTCAAAAGCATTTTGACTGGGCTGAAAAAAATTGTTTGAGAGAAAAATGGCCATAACAAGTCAACTTACAGCAAAATAAGAAACATGAAACATGAAACACTTCAAACTAAAACACAATATAAACCTTGTAGAGTTTGGTTCTCAATAAAATTAGTTACAATAGCAAATCTGGATTTTTACTGCTCACTCAAAATGGGCCGGCAGCCTGTGATTTGGCCGCCTACAATGAAGTATCTTCCATTGACTTCACGCTTTTCAGACTGCTTTTCAGGAAGAGGTTAGGCCTCTGCTGCCTATAACTACTACAGCCAGCTTGCCTACTACTCAAAAACATTTTGACTGGCAAATTTTTTATAACAGGATGCAATGTTCTTCAGTTTCAAGATTATTTGGTAGCTAAATATTTGAATGTTCGAGAGAAGAAATAGCCGTAAACATTTTTTCTTTCTTATCAGCAACGATTTCCAAAAATAATGTATTATGACCATCTAAAACAAAGAAGAAATAAATCATATTTGTGATCTCACAGGGCTTCAATATGACACAAGTAAGCGTTTTTTATTTCCTACGACTTAGAAGTGGCAGAAATGGCTGAAATGGTCTTCATGTAAACACAATAGAATCCTCTGTGTGTATAGCCATTCCAAACGTCATGATATTTGACTGAACCTCAGCTTTCGTTTAGACTTCATCTTTCGTTTTGTTTTGCACTTCGCCGACAGATGTTTTGTAATCAATATACGTATTGTAGAAAGCTTTTTTGTCGCTTCTGTTTTTGTTATAAAAGACAGATAGATTGGACAGATTTAGAAAGATGTTTTTTAATCAAGCATTTTTTTGTTTACCTAAGATATTATGGGATGTCAAGATTAGTTCAAATACGTGAGTTACATTAAGAAAGCGGCAATAGGGAATCCGACATCAGGTTGAAAGGACTGTGAAAGTGTGTTTTCTGCCTTTGTGCAACATTGTACGTATTCTAGAAAGCTTTTTTGTCGCTTCTGTTTTTGTTATAACCGATATTGGCGATCCTCACGTGTATTTTTTGCTTTCAGTTGACTAGCTAACGCATGTGCAAGAGAAGACTTGCCGAATAAACTGGTTAAAAATTTGGTAGACCCCGAGGACTTTATTTTCCTGGTGAATCTTCAAAACCAGTAGTACCCGAACCTGTGGTGCGAAACACGTTTAGACTTAGAAACTTGCGCTTTCTCACCACCGTTCAAAAAGTGGTAGAGCCATTGCAGATAGTGAGCTTCTTACTTGAGAACCAGATCATAACACCCAGGCCTTTTCACGCTAAAATACTCAACTACTAAAATTTCCTTCGCCGCCGTAAGCCGCTATGTTATCCTTCTTGTATACTTGTTCCCAGGGTTCGAGTTCCGAAGGTCTCGCTCAAGCGTTATGTTATGTCAAGCGTTACGTTATGCTATGCATAACTTTGGGGCCAATTGAGACGTAACGATAATCAGTTGTTTCTCTTATATAACGTCCTCAGAATAACTTCTATCGGCCTGCGAGGGAAACTGAGTTCGTGCCTCCTCTTCGCTTGTTGTCGCAGTTTAGGAAATGGGCGTTCGCGGACTTACGTCTTATCTTGTTCGTTCTGAAGAGTCAGCTCCATACCTCAGGAGACTGATCAAGCTGCGAGACACAAAGCTTATCATAGACGGAGATAACTTGTGTAACTACCTTTACAAAGAAAACGGCTTCGATTGCCGATGCGGAGGGCAGTATGAGGAGTTTTACAAGAAAGTACTGCTGTTTTTCGAAGCTCTAAAATCTAAAGGTGTAGAATCGTTCGTAGTTCTTGATGGCGCATATGATAGAAGTGATAAGAAGTTAGAAACACGGAAAGAAAGAACACAAGAAAGGATCGAAAAGGCTGACCAGTTGTTCAGGAATGAAACATCAGCTAATGGCGATGAATACTTTTTACTTCCACTTTTGGCGAAGTTTGTATTCGTAGAAGTCCTGAGGGATCACTTGATAAAATTTGCTGTTTCTGACTGGTAAGATGTCATCAAATAGTTAATTAGCTTGCACTTATGCTATAAGACTGGCTAAGAAATGTGGTCGTGTTCAAATGCTTAGGATATGAAACGAAAGATGGAGAAATTTATTTTTGGTTCCATTTCTGTAAGCTTTCCCCTTCTTTTAACGCAAAAAAATGTTTTTTCGCCCACAAGACGGCAGTTCACGTCCATTTGGGTATTTTATTCACTTAAAGCTTGTATTAATAAGTGTTCCGGTTATGTTTTGCTTTCACTTTCGCACGTAACCGGAATTAAGACTAAAAATTACAGTTATTGTTAGCTTCTTATTCACCGAGCGGGAGAACTGCACTAAGGAAGCCCCGAGGTTGTGAAAGTGCGAATCAAGCGCAGCGATTTGGTTGAATCAGGTATTACCTCTGAAGAAAATCAAAGGCAAGCGTGATTGAAGAGAACAGGGTGTAATAGTTGTAACGAGTACGCTTACATGAACCTTTGAGCTTCCTGCGGCCGCATGGCATTTTGGGAACAGCTTCCTCGTGTGTCGGCCATGTTGTTAGTATAGGTAATCACATGATTTCGAGTGCAATTTGGAATAAACAAGCACGAGTAAATTTTTTCAAAGACTAACAAAATTGTACGGGCCCGTAGGGCGAGTGCAATTTGTGGTCTTTGAAAAAATTAACAAGTGCTTGTTTATTCCAAATTGCACGAGAAAAATCATGTGATTACCTGTTAATAATATACATGGAAAAATACGAGATGGCTTATCATAATTAAACATAAGCAAAGCGCGCGCATCAAGTGCAAAAAATAATTTATTCAAACCGTGCGGAATTGTTCAGTCTGTGTCCACATCACTTTTGATGAAATGGAATCGTCGTTTCCGAGGTTTAACCATGTTTGTTTT